TATATATATATATATCGCTTTTCCAAGTTAAAAATTTGTTTCATTAGACTTGGTATAAAGAACATAAATATTTTAGAGTTAAATCAACTTGGCCATATCGATTCTATAAATTGAACAATTGTGACAATAATGCATCAGATTTTCAGAGATTGCAAAGAATTTTCACAAAAAACTGAATCTTTCCAACTTTAAAAGGGCAGTGATAGCAGAACAGGATAAGTAAATGAGGACGCTATGGTAGTGAGTATGTTTCCAACTTTAAAAGGGCAGTGATAGCAGAACAAGATAAGAAGTAAATGAGGATGCTATGGTAGCGAGCAGGAGAGCAACTGATTACTAGTATTTTGTATCATTGGTCCAAAGTTGGCATGCTTGTGTTCTGTATATTTCATTTACTTTTATTATCTATGACTCTTTATTGATTTTTACAACATGAAAGGAAGTGCATAAACCCAAAAAATACTCATTTAGCGTCAGAGATGTTCTTTTCAACCTACCCCCCATATTGATGGTGATTCCCTAAAATTCTGGCTCCATTGGAAATCAGCAACTGATGCGGTTAAAGCTCCATAGTCGCTTGCTGCCTTCAGCAGCAGTTCTGAAAATTGTTTCTAAATAAAAACATAAGAAAAGGCTTAGAGTTTTTTAATTTAGATGAAAGTAAGAAATGACAAGTATTTTGAAGTTGAAGTGAGTCTGAAGAAGCCATTAAACATAACCCACAGTGCTGACTAATACAACATGGTGTGGAATCATTGTTAACTCATTGTAATAAAAATAAACAGAATTGTGAGCCAACTTCAAACGCAAAAGGTCTGCATTAGATAGCATATACTTAAGAAAAATAATAAGGTCTATTTGGTTCAAATTTATTAAGATAACAAAGTTACAAATCAAATTCAGTGTGTTTGGCTTGAAGTTATATTACTTCACAATGTAATTACGTCTAGAAGGATCAATAGTAATTTTGATCTTTCAAATAACTCGGCATGTAAATTTAACCAACATCTAAATATTATTAAAGGCATGAATATGATACAGAAAAAAGGTGCAAGTTTTAAAGTCACCACAATTGACAGAAAAACAAAGATCTGATGTTCCAAGTCATCATCCCAATGAAGGGGAAAAATAGTCATTTTTCTTTATTTTATGATCTTGTAAGATATGAAGAGGTTGTAAATGCATTCTAACCGCTTGGACTATGAATGAGTCATAGTACATTTAAATGCAAAGCACCAAGATTTGATGTCATTAGCAAGACAGCCTTGCAAGAGAATATTAATATTTCAGCATCTCCTCCCCAAAAAGGTGGCGCCTCCCCTCTCTCTTAAAGTGACGCTCCTATACAAAAATGATATAAGAATTTCAATCAAGCACCATTTTATCTCGCGCCTTTCCTAAATTTGTGCCTTCTGAAGAAGAAAAGAAAGTTTTAAATTCAAAACAAGAAAAGACCACGACTTAAAATTAATAAGGATCGCACAAATGAAGCCTTAAATGAAGCATTTCGAATTTCGAATTCAGGGCAGAAATTAATTTTTTTTATTTGCTTTATCCATGTAGTTACCAATGGGTGGTTATAAAGGTGTGGTAGCCTTGTATTAGGGTTAGCTTGGACTTTAAAATTTTCTTAAAAGGCAGGACTAGGTGGCTGTCTCTTGAATGAGAACTTTGGCGAGCTTCCCAAGAATGAAAATTTATATTTTATAGTTAGTCATGCATGAAATATGCAATTTTCATTTCATGATTTTCCTGTCATTTATCATAGTTAATAATGTTGTTATCTGCCCTCTCCACCAATCCATTACCTAAATGTCTAAAGCTTGGCCACCATCAATTACTCCATGATGACCAAGACCCACTCATAGTAAACCGTTATGCTCCCACATGATCTTTCATTCATAATTCACGCCTTATAATTCATGGTGTTATCCCTTCTGTTCATTAATCTATTTCTTACATGTTTAGACATGGCCTGTCATTACTCTACCATGGCTAAGCCCCACTCTAGCATGTCCTCATCCTCCCAATCTTTGGGTGAATGACTCTTTATAAAAAATTATTGTATTCTGTAGTCATAGCTGGCAAATTACTAATGGCTGCACGCCCCTCTATCACCACCTTCCATCTCATATCAGGATATCATTTACAAAATTATTATTTGAAGAGGTTGATGAACTAAATAGTTCATATGCTAACATGACAGAACATAGGATCTGTCAAGGAGCCAACCAAACCCCAAACTGCAGTTTCTCAATAAAAATGGTAGGGCATGTCAATGGGCCAACAAACCTCAAAATGCCAGTTTCTCAATAAAAAATAGTGAATGGATAGTATTTCTGTAAAGATCATATAACAAATAGCAGAAAATTTTATTCAGCATTGTACTAAGTGCTTTGCCTACTACGGCCCTCACTCCGTCAGTGCATATTATAGGACATTTAGATAGGTTGCAGCTAAAGGCTGTAAGCAGAAATATTCTGGTTTGAAGTACCAATTACACCTAACGATAAATTCTAACATCAACCTTTTAACTTTCAAATCCAGGCTTGAGGTAAAAATGGCAATATTTTAAAAACTGAAATTTCAACTTGGGATGCTTGGCATCCAACGCAACAGTAATTAAGGAAGCCAAAGGTTGAGGTTATCAACAGCAGCTCCTACGAGGAATACTAGACCTCACGAAAATTGAGGTCAACAAACAGCAATGATGAAAATTTTAAATTAATAAAAACCATCAATTTTGGACATAAATGAACCCATTACATGTACTAATTTGAGAAATAAAAACTGTGAAATTAGGACACTATAATAGCTTAAGTCCATCGAATTGTACAAACAAACATCACCATAAGCAGAAAACACCATCCCCAAGATCCACCTATTAACCTTGGATATTCATATAACTAATAGCAGAAAATTTTATTCAGCATCCAGGCAGCATTGTACTAAGTGCTTTGCCTACTATGGCCCTCACTCCGTCAGTGCATATTGTAGGAAATTTAGATAGGTTGCAACTAAAGGCTGTAAGGAGAAATATTCTGGTTTGAAGTACCAGTTACACCTAACGATAAATGCTAACATCAACCTTTAAACTTTCAAATCCAGGCTTGTGGTAAAAATGGCAATATTTTAAAAACTAAAATTTCAACTTGGGATGCTAGGCATCTAACGCAACAGTAATTAAGGAAGCCAAAGGTTGAGGTTATCAACAGGATAGACGGATAAGAGCAAAGGTTGAGGTTATCAACAGGATAGACAGATAAGAGAACAGCACTGATGAAAATTTTAAATTAATAAAAACCATCAATTTTGGAGATAAATGAACCCATTACATGTACTAAATTTAGAAATAAAAACTGTGGAATTAGGACACTACAATAGCTTAAGTCCATCGAATTGTGCAAACAAACATCACCAAAAGCAGAAAACACCATCCCCAAGATCCACCTATTAACCTTGAATATTCATATAAGAGATGAACTTTGGTGTAAAGCTGAGGTTACATATCCTTTTAGGGCCTATTTGACATTAAAAATCCATTGAGATTTCAAATATATTCTGATTTGAACGCATTGCATTTTCTTTTCAAGTTGTTCGGTTTGTTGTAAAATAATTCAAGGAATGCTTTATTTGTGCTTCATTGGTAGTAAATAAACTCGCAAAATCATGATGACAAGAACAAGGACATGCAGGATTGTAATGACATGGACAGTGTGAACAAAAGGCATTGTGTGGATCGCAGTGAAAACAAAGACTAGAACAGTGATGGGCAGGATCCTAGTGATAGCGACAACGTAGACGAAACACGCTGTGGGACCACAATGACGTTTATGGAAAATCAGAATTTCAGTGAACACTAGGTGCTGAATAAAATCTTCTACTATTAGTTATATTTTATTATTCAGCATAAATGTCATTGTGATTCAACCAAGCATCCTGACCAATTTCAGCATCCAGCCAACCTATTTCAGCATCCACACTGAAATAGGAAAATCAGAAATTCAGTGAACATTAGTCATTTCTCATAGGAAAAATCATCATAGGTATGTTTACAGTACTAAATATAAGTTGCATAATAAATAAATAAAACAGAAAGTGCTTAATCTGTTAATATGCTCATTTTAACGAGAAAGATTTGAATTTCCTCTTCATCATACTAAATGACAATGATTGCCACTAATTTTCAATGGTAATAAAAGAGCCGACATGTCTATGAATGCAGGTCACTTGTTAGTTTGTTAGCTCTAAAAAATCTTCCGATATTTGGATCTTTAATATCCTCTTTCTGTAAATTGTTTGATTCAAACGCACCAATGAGTTTTACTCAAATGGTATCATTGGTTCCAACAAAGAAAAAAAAATTCAAAAGGAGAAAACAATTAATTCAGGTGTATTTCTAATGTTAACATATGCCTTTAATTTGATTTTCAACCTTCTTTAACATCCATTCACAAACATCCCATTATCATGCAGATTCTCATAAAATTTCAGTTCGCAAGATGTACTAAACGCATGAGCTCTTATGCCAAGCAATTAAATGGGAATATTGTGATTCCTAAAATATTGGTGCCCGGTTTTCAATCTTCAAGTCAGTTTTAAAACCAGTGAAGACATCTCTCTCAAATATGTCATAACCAAGAGAGATGCAAACAAAAAAAAATAATAATAAAATAATAAGAATAAAATAAAATAAAATAAAGTGACAAGCTTAATTCTAAAAGTAAATAATTTTGACCAAGAATTTGCAGTATTTAAGTATGCAAACATCTGAAAGATATCAAAGCACATTTTGCCACCAATTAAAATAGAAAATTTAAGCATCACACCTGATATTCAGCTTCCACTGGAATGCAATCTAAAGAATAAGGCTGCTGAAGTCTGGCAATAATGCGATCCTGACAAAACAGAAATATTATTTCTTAACATGATACTTTCTAATATGCAGCTAGCTGCATTCCAACAATCAAATAAGTTGACCCCATAATCTATTACATTACTTGGAGAAGTACCACAAAGGTTGTATGCATATATCATTAAGCCATGTAAGCTCATAAATTTTTTTTAGCCTTTACTAAGTAACAAAAGCAAAGAAAAAGCAAAAGAATAACAGTACTTCGATAAAGTTTTATTTATTTCCATAGGAGCCTTCACTGAATGTCAATATGGCAATTATTGCTACAGATCCAAAAACAAAACTAGAATTAGGGGTTGCTATCACAGGTTAGGATATGGTTTCACTTTTCCCAAAAAAAAAAAAAAGGTAATGAATGGCATTACACAAACATCGCCCTCATCATTAAGGGGCATAAAAAAACGATTACAAAACACATGCCATCTACAGTTGAAAATTCGACAAGGTTATCTGATACATGCCCTAAATACAGCTTACTAAGATTGGCAATATAATGCAGAAGTCCAAAGTTTCTATTATTTTCTTTTATTTGTTGCCATTATTTCCAAGGTAAAATCCCAAAGATATAATTCTTTAAGTTTAATTTTTTTTTAGGTTGATTAAATTAAAAAATTAGAAAGGATACAACTCATGCTAGGCATCCTATTTTTGTTTTGTTTCAAATTTCGCCTACTTTTTCCTTCAACCATCAATTGACCAAAAAAAAAAATAGGGACTCCATATTATATTTGTTGTGATCACACTTGGCATTTTATATGATTTGACACCAACATACCAATCATCAATCCAGCACCCTCAAGCAACTTTTAACTCTATTTTCACTTTTTTGTTATTCTATTTAACAAACAAAACAAAACAAATACATTTAAATATGATACAGCATAGGCCTTCAAGCAGGTCAAATAAGCTAACACAAACCTTAGTGACAATAGGTCAAGTACTAAAAATCTTTGACAAGGTTCATTTCCAAGTTTTTTTACGCATATTTTTCATTATAATTGAATTTCCAATAGCTTTTTAATTGAATTCTTACGGTATGTTTATTTTCTTTTAGATAACAATAGGTTAAATCTAAATGTTTGTTTGAGTTGGAAAGGAATAGATTTGCATTTTAAAATGGGGTATTATCCTTATAAACCTATTTTAATTAATAGGGATCCATGATGTAAATTATTATTATTGATCAGTGAATGTAAGTGAAATTATTTGAGGCCAATTAAACTCCCTCTGGATGCAATTTGTATATGTACATGCAGCCCTTCCTCAAATTTTGATATAACATAAACCTAATCCTACCGAATCCCTAAACTCTATCTTACTGAATCCAAGCCTAGCTTGAATCCCATACACTTCAACCTTTGCAAATTCAACCCTATCTTCTAGCTTTTTTAATTAGCCTGTGTGTTGCCAATGCAAAACCTCAAATCCATGACATCTACAGTTGAAACTAAAGCTCTTAACCACTAGGTTAAGATGAGCTACACCTTATTTCTTACTCATATAGTACCTCCCATCTTGCATGAGTCATGCGCAAACCACTCATGCATATCTACTATTTTGCATTGCATTGCATGCATAGCTCACACGCATCATGCGTGTCCAATCCACACAACTCCAATTGTCACTCATAAAGTCCCATGTATTGATTGTTGCATATGACCCTTATAAGCACACCACAATGCTGTTAAATCCTTTTTTTAAGGCCTAGTACACTCAATTACAAACATTTCTACACAACAAATCTTAAAGCTATGCCTGCACCTATACCATTACTACAACATGCAAAACCTGCATGCAACTTGCTCAAGCGATCCACTCACCTCTCAAGATACCTACTTATGTGGTGTGCCTTGTTTGTAGATGAGGTAATTTCCAATAATACACATGCAATATGGCTTATGGGGCTGCACCATATATCTCATCATTTTATCTTCACACCCTACAACTTTTCAACATATTCCTTCCAAAGTAGAAGAAACATACAAAACTGCACAAAATTTATTGATTTCTCATCTAATTGAGCTCCAACTTATTGTTGATTGCTGACTCTCCGATCCAATGCCAACTAGATCACGTTTGCATTTAATGCTTTCTAATCACAGCAACCTCAGAGATAGCTTTATGGAGTTCTAATGCACGAAGATCGTCGCATTTTGACATTCGACTACTATATTGGTTTATTGAGAAAGTTATGAAACTCTAAAATCACCTATTAATTCTTTTATAAGAGAGATTTTTAATAAGGTTAATACTTCCACAAATCTAATCATTCCACTTCTGCTTGTCTACTTAGATGTTCAAAGTATCACTTTAAATGAAGTAATACTTGAGAAAGATGTGGAGCACTGATTTCTGAATAGGTTGAAAGGCATGCTCCTTTTGATGATACTTGGATAGCTTAGGAGAAACTATGAAAGCTAGCTCCTCCGATCCAATGCCAAGTAGATCATGTTTGCATTTAACGCTTAATCAATCATTCATTTCTAATCACTGCAACTGCAATAGCTTTATGGAGTTCTACATGCTCGAACATCGTCGCATTTTGACATTCATTCTTGTTCTGACTTTTATATTGGCTTATGGAGAAAGATTTGAAACTCTAAAATCACCTATTAATTCTTTTATAAGAGAGATTTCTAATATGGTTACTACTTCCACAAATTTCATCATTCCACTTCTGCTTGTCTACTTAGATGTTAAAAGTATCACTTTAAATGAAGCAATACTTGAGAAAGATGTGGAGCACTAATTTCTGAATAGGTGGAAAGGCATGCTCCTTTTGACGATACTTGGATAGCTTAGGAGAAACTACAAAAGCTAGCTCCTAAACTCTTACATCGATCTTAACTCTCAAAAATCAAGTTCTTTACACCTCAAAGGTGTTATCTCGTACAAGCCTTTAAATAACTCAAATATTATCATAGAAAAGCAATTGATCATCAGCCAATTACTAGAAAGACAAAGCAGGTATTAAGCCTATTGTCAAGTCTTTTAGGTCAGATTTTAGTTATAGTTGAAACTCTGATAATCTTTATTAATTAAATTCTTTGCGAGATCGTATCTTTTTTTTGGATAAGAATTACATTAAATTTGAGCATTTATCGGGTTTGGATCCATGATGCATATGTTGCTATTATTATTTATTTATGGAAGAATGAATTGTTATTGCCCAATAAAGTGTTCTCTAAAATCAAAATTGTACGCAGAGTTTTCTATCCACCCATCAAAATAAATAATAAACAAACAAAAAAACATATGCAAAAAATAGAGTTGTTGCTATTCCACAAATTCAGTCACTGTTAAAACAATCTCATTATTTAATCTTCAATATTGCCCCTTGGATCACCATTATCATCCATTCAATCAATATGATTGTTGATCTAGCCACAAGCTAGCCTTGTTTAAAGACCAGACAATGAGCCATCATCTTGCTCAGAAAACCATCACATTAACTCAAAGCCCATGTATATTCAATTTCACCAGATAAAGAAAAACATCATCCTTCTAAAACTTCTCTAACAATAAGTCAATTAACTCCTGTTTTATTGATCTCCATACTTTTCCAGTAAATATATATTTATCAACAACAAATTAACCTCTGCCACTTGATTAGAGAAGTTTATAACTGACTAATAAACCTATCCTACGCTATTAGAGTTATTTTTAATGCGACCTAATGGTTTTGACCATTGATAGAAAAATTTACCAAACATTTTCCAAAAAGTGAACTTTAACATCTTTCTTCACTAAACTTACAAGATATATAATATAGCTTACGACCCACCATGTTGAATTGACAACCCTGCTTCTTTTTAAGAATGCAAAAAGAGAGAGAGAGAGAGAGAGAGAGAGAGAGAGAGAGAATTAGGCCAAGCATGATTTTAAATACCACCTGACCACGGAAGTGAGCCATAGCTCGGGTCTACTAATGAGTCATATTTGTGGCAATTAGCCATAGATAGAACTAGGTACAAAAATCACATCAAATATACCCATAATTAATGCCAAATTGAGTATACGCAAACATTCTCGGCACTCTCAAGTTTTTGCACCCTCAAGATTTTCACAGACCAAAAATCTACAAAGTTACCTCTACCAAAAAAAGTTTCATGACCTTTTTCGAAAGTGGCCCTTGCTTTTGTACTTTGTTGATCAAAAACGCTACCGAACACAACTTTCTACCAACCATGCTGAATTCTCAACCCCTCTTCTTGCTTTGGAGAATGCAAGGACAAAGAAAATGCAACAAACCTAAGTTTAAGCACTAGACCAAATTGATCCCACTCCATGCTAAAAGCCATAGCCCGAGTTGACAAACAAATATTATATTTGGGGTCACATAATACACACAAGTCACGTTACATGTATCAATATTTAATGTCATTTTCAGGATAAACAAAGCTAACTTTGGCACACATTAGTAGCTGCAGACTAACAATCAACGAATAGGTGGATTATCTAAAGGCTGTATACATCTATGAATCTAGCCAACTTGATAACTTGGGCATAAATCCTTATTTAGGATTAATTTTAAAGTATTTGCAAGATCAAATAAACACCAACAAACTGCACAATTAAATCACTTTAAATGTCACCGCATATATCTATAATTTATCGACTAAACGTTTAATCTTTGCAAAAATAACTGTTGCTTTGGACAAAAGAGAGGATGAGCTAGAAGATAAAACATGAAAAGCATTTTAGGAAAATTAGATAAGCAAGATAAAGTTAAAAATAGAACAATATCTTTGTTTCTTATTATTTTAGGACTCATTACCACGTCCCAAGCTTCTGATTCGAAAAGTGGAGGGCAGCCATAAGTAGTCGACAACCAGCAAAAAAATTGTCAAAAAATAATGACATGAATCGTTTAAACCCTTGTTGTAAATGCTAGGACTTCTCCTGAAAACGATGCATTGTATGATCTAAATACAATGAAAAGTGTGTAATGGCTGCAACACTATTGTCCAGGTGTAGTATCAA